ACCACCACCCAACAAAAAAATCCCCAAATCCACAACCATTACATCCTCCGCACAATTATCCCAGGCTGTATCTACAAATCACCACTACCACCTCTACCATCTTCTTCACATCTACCACAACTATAACACCACAAGCCGCCGCCAACACTAACACCAAAAAACAGTATCCCGATATTCCATAAAAACCCTCCAAAGATGGCAACAACAGAACTTCAAGAAATCTCACATGGAGAACAAAAAGTTGAAATTCATGGAGATGTACTGGAAGCAATACTCTCGTATGTGCCACTCATCGATTTGGTGTCGGCCTCTAGTGTCTCCACGTCGTGGCGTTCCGCCGTGGCCTCCTCCCTCCTCCACCTCAAAAAGTCGAAGCCATGGTTGATCCTCTACAAACAAGCCACTCGCTCGCCTTATACCGCTACAATACTCGCATACGACCCGTGTTCCAATCGGTGGATCAAAATATCCAAGCCGTCGATGAATTTCAACTCGGCACTCAAATCGTCTCAGTCTAATTTCCTTTACATGCTTCCAATCGTCGGCTTAGGTGGTGGTGGTGCCAGTCGTGGTGGTGCTAGTGGTGGTGGCGGCGGCGGCAGGGGTAGAGGGAAGGGAGAGAAAATGGGTTTGAGAGAGAGAGAGAGGTGACAAAATGAATTAATTAGGGTTTGAAAATTGATTNACCGTGGAGTGGCGACGGCGGGGAGAGAGGGAAGGGAGAGAAAATGGGTTGAGAGAGAGAGAGGAGAGAGAGAGAGAGACGTGAGAGAATGAATTAATTAGGGTTTGAAAATTGATTTAAATAAAAATTAATTTAAAAATTATTAATTAAAACCTGATTTATGTATTATTAAAGATGATTTTGGATTTACGAAAATGATATTTTAAAAACCTGCGAGGGTGTAATTTCCTCATTTTTAAATACACGCGGGCCCCGCGCATTATATGAGAGGGGGTAATCCATTATGTACAAATGGATTAACCTTTATTTTTATCTACTTCAATCTGACATTAGGCCCATGTTTGGTGGCCTTAAAATTTTAAAAAACATAATTTTGAATAGTATTTTTTGGAGAATGTGTGATTAAAAAGTAAGAAAAAGTTTTAGATTTATGTGTGAAATATTTTATTATGTATGTATGTTTAAAAATGACAATAAAAAATAAATTAAAGTAAAGTGAATGCGACCAAATAGGGGGGCTAAATAGAGGAAAAAAAATTGCAAGAGAAATCTTTGATTATATAGTAACTCAGCTCCTGTTTGGGCTCT